GGGCAGGCAGGAATCGAACTCATGCTGAAGTGGCTTTAGCTTCTCAGCGCTGTGCTTTAACCCACTGCGCCACCAGCGAGGGCCCTGAGCTAGGCTTTTAAGGAACTCCAAGGTGGCTTAAGTTGGCTCTGGGGGTTGCCAAACCTGGCTGCATGTCAAAATCATTGGGAAGCCTTTAAAAACTGTCCAGACCCCAGATGTCATGACTGATCCAGTCAATCAGGTGGTGATAGTGGAGGAGGCATTCTAAGAAACCCTAGTTCACAGGCAGGTGTGAGGATTTCTGTTTTCCCTCACGTGAGACTCACCTTTTCAATCTTGTCAGGGTCTGACAGCAGAGCAGCTCCCATTCCTCCCTAAGGAAAAGGACATAGAGCATTTTATTATAGCTGGAGGAGAGAATAGCAATATGGAGACCTGGCACATTGCCAGGTGTGGCAACGTAGCCCTCACCACCAAGGGACCAAGGTCCACTTGCAGTCAGCACTTCTCCCAAGCAAGTAAGAAAGCAGCAGCATCTGTGCTCACAATAACAGATATCAGAGTCTGATGAACCCCAAAGTCACCACTGTGGTCCCCTTAGCACAATCCATGGATCAACATAGATCTGTCAAAGCTCCCATGGAGCTACATGGATCTTAACATTAACAGTGGTTGTCTTTTGATGATGGGATTACTGGTGGTTTTCCTGCTCTTGTTTTACTTTTCTACGTTATCCAAGTTCTGGGAAATGTTGTGACTTACTTCAATAGTAGAGGGAGGCATATTTAAAAATTGGAAACCATTAAAAGTGAGGTAAAGGGGCTAAGCTAAAATCAATAAATATATAGTGTCAGTGTAGGGACTGTGCACTAATGAAAGCTCACAGCATGTGTTCAGAGGGTCAATTCAGTTATTCCAGTTTAATTCCATGCTAAAATGTGACAGATTAAGATCAGAGAGAAGACCACAGCCGTGGCTGGCCTGAACCTGCATTTCAGAGGATGAGAAGGGCAGAGAAACTCCTAGCTCTGGTCTACCTTGGCCACAGACGTAAACTTCCAGGCTTCCAAGGAAGCTCTGGCCACTCACCTTGGCTCCATCTGACCTTCAGCTCACGTACAATCCAGCCCTTCCTTATAGAATCACAGGATCTAAAATCCAGCCTGGCTGCCCCTTCCATAACAATGGCCTTCTGAATGGTATTTCCTTCCTTCCTTCCTAGCTTAACTTATTTGCTTTTTTGAATAGGTAACACATTAAAATTTATAAAGGTTCAAAAGGGGAAAGAGTAAGACCTCTCCCTGCCTGAGGAATGGGAAACTTTTCCATGTATACTTTTAATATGGTTTCACTTTTGAACCACCAGGAAAGAGCAGTACGCGCTGAGGGCACACTGGTGTGCCACACAGGTGGGCATCTGTTCTGACTGGGGGGTGCCAGTTGTTAACTGTTTTCAGTAGGCCTCCTGCAATGAAAACTTATTCCCTATGCAAAATCAAAACATACTTTCCTTCCCAGGGGAAACCAGTGTTACTAGTTTCTTGTGTTTGTCCAAATACACCCTCTGAGGAGAAAAGCAGACACATATACTCACTCCCCACCCCTCCCATATAAATGATGGCACACCATATACAATTCTCCTTTTTTTCACTCCACATGGTATCAAGATCATTCAAATAACCTTAACTCCACTTTTTAAAAACACAGGAGCACAAAAAGAATGATGAGAGAAAATAAGAGTCCAATGTTTTCAGCTCAGTTTCAAACCATCATATATTTCTTGAAGCCGCTGTTTGCAGGCTCCCTGGTTTTCAAGCACCCAACGGGCCTTTCCCGCAGTCTTCCCCTAGCCGAAAGCAAAGGCCCCAGGCTGTGCAGCTTCTGAGAGTAAGGGGCTGACTCTGGGCAGTGGGCTATGTCTACACTGCTGACCGTGACCAGGAAGGGAGAAGGTGCCCAAGAACAGCCGCAGGAGATCTTTTGGTGCCTCACCTGTCCGACCCCCAGCTGTCCTCGCTGTCTGCCCCAACATGCTCATGCTCAGGCAGCCCCAGTCAGACGGGAGCCAATGATCTTTTTTCCCTCAACCCCAACCTAGTACCCCACCCACAGTCCAACTGTTTTCCAGTCAAGCCTGCCTTACTTCGTTTTCTCCTCTCTCCACCTCTAGTCTCTCTTGTGGACCAGAGCACTCCATTCCTAGATCTGTGTTCTCACCTCAGCCTTTTTCCACTTGAAACCACCAAACATTTGGTTCCCTGATTAGCATTTCCAAGTATTTCTTGTCATAGAATATACTGGGAAGGACACACAAGAAAGTAATAATCTGGATTCCCCTAGGGAAGGAAACTAGTTTCTGATCATGTCTTCTCTGCTCAAAAGAGACTAAGACATCTAAAGCCCAATTCCATCTAACTGGGCCCAGCCAACATTTCCAATCCTATGTTCCTTTGTTCCTCTTCGTTGCCCAGTCCTCAACCTTCTGGTTAAATCAAGGTCCTCTGTCCCCACCTCACGTTGGCACCCAGTCCCCTGCTTTTGCCACTCTGTGCCTGCAGGGTCCCAAACCTCATCAAGGACCACATAAGATCCTGAGTTTAAGGACTCTTTCTGCTCCTTCCTCTAAGTTACCAGAGTGCTCTGGTCTGATCTCTTTCAATATGACAGTGGGAACACGTGTTGTATCCTCTTTTTTTTTTAAATGTATGTCCCAGTTTTACTCATAAAAAGACAAAGCCTTTTTCTGCCTCTTTTTTTTTTTAATACTTAAACATATGTCTTATTGCTTGGGCACAAGTATTCTGTGAGTTTGTATCTATGTGTACCGGTGTGTGAATATATGCGTGTATGTCTCTGCTTATGTGTGTGTTTGATTGTGTGTGTATAATTTCCCCTGAATCATTGAAGCCAAAACTACATAGTCATAGCTCTTTCCCCCATATACTTCAGTATATATTTTCTAAAAATAAGGATATTCTTACAAAACCACAGAAGAATCATCAACTTCATATGTTTACACAGGAGTAGTATTTTTAGACGATCCACCAAGGACCCTATTGCAATTGACGAGCTGATGTAACACTGTCCTTTCAAGTACTGCCCCATTTAGTGCAGGATCTAGTTTAGAGTGAGGTCCTGTTCTTAATTGTCATATCTCACTTGTCTCCTTTATTCTGCATCCCATATTTGTAAGCATTATTTAAATAATCCACTTACCTTGGTGGAATACTCTTTTGGACAGCCCATGTTGACATCAATACCAGCTACATCATTTTCTCTGAAAAACATGAAGGACCAAGGATAATAAAAAATTCAACTTGAGGGAAGAAAACAGAGTTGAAGGCATGCATCTGAGCTCTTCCCGGGGCCCTAGCCTTGTGAAACACACCAACTCTCAGGTGCAGAAGCTGAAAATAACCTGTCTCTAAAATGCGCGGCTCCCCCACCCGCCACAGAGTTCAAGCAGGTGGTAACATGCTCACACACATGTAAAGGGCTCCTTGGAGAGGACTTCACTATTTGGGACGTGTATCAGATCATTCAAATACTTAATCATGGCCACCCTAAGTTTGGTCCCACACTTGCAGTCCTCACTGGTGCACTGAAAGCCATCTGTCATGCAGAGCGGCGACATGAGCACGAGTCTTCCCCCAAAGTGCCAGTTGTGGTAGAAATAACAGGACTGCCTTTGCTTGCTGGGCAGCACAGCTTACTCTAAACGGCAATCAGATGTACAAAGGACCCTTGCCTCATCCCCTGGTGTGTACACAGTTAACAGCCAGAGATCAGCAGCAGTCCTGCCGAGTTCCCAGACACCCTTGTAGTCACTAATAACAATAGCTAAGTACTTACTAAGTGCCACATCTTGCAAACACATTTACATGCGTTACTTTATGTACCTTTTCCTGAAATGCCAGGCAGTACTATGAGTTTCAGTGAGGTTAATTTCAGGGAACTAAGTTCTCAGAGAGGTTAATTGATCTAAGAGCACAGAGTTAGCAAGTAGCAAAGCTAAAACTCCAACCCAAGCCAGTTTAACTTCAAAGCCCATCTCTTTAGGCACAGTACTCTCTACCTTTGTTAATTTAGGAAGCAATCAGTGTTACTTATACTTCATGAGATTCAAAACCTCAGGGCTCAGTGTCATGAGAGTTCTTGGAAAGGGGGCCTCATGAGTAAACACTGAAAGCAACCCCTCCCCCAGAGGGATCTGGGATCTGGGCACAGTGAGTACATGAGTCCTAGGTCAGCCCTCAGATTCCACAAACAGAAGGAAACCAGACACTCTTAACCTGGAAATAGAAGGGAGTGGACTAGGAGGTAGGAGCTGGTCACCAAGAACAGAGAGGCGTCACAGCCCACAGGAGAAACAAAGGCAGTCCCCAAAGAGACACTTACACAAGTCTGGCCACAGCAAGAGCTCGCTCAGCGTCTGAAGTTCCCTGGGAACATAAGAAGCTTTATCATCCACCACCCTGACATGCAAGCACACATGTGTCACAGGTGAGTCAGGCAAGCTTTCACCTAAACAGCCAGCCCACTGGACTAGCAACTGTCAGAGGCAGTAAGTGAAAATGAAGGGCCTCGGAGATCCATGAACACTGTGATTACTTCAAACACAGAAAAAAGTTGAAAAAATAAATGAAGTACACACGCATCTACCCACTACTACCACTACTTCCATTCTATAATTAACCCTTTGCTATAGTTGCTTTATCATATGTCTGCCTATTGTTATCCATTTTTTACTGACTAAAATACCAAGCAGGAGCTATTTCTGGAAAAAGCACAAAGAAATGTTCTAAGAGCAGAGTGCTCTAGAATCACTACAACCCTTACCATCAACCTAATGACTCTGGAGGAAGCCTACATTTTTAATGGGAAATATGCAGACCCCACAAAAGCCAAGGTCATGAATTGTATAAGCAACAATAGGGACTGCAAATAGGTAAGTCACGCCGAACAGGCGTTTTCTATAATCAAAGAAGTTACAGCTGGGACTGGAGACATTGGACAGAGGGCCACCGCTTGATTTCCATAAACTGACGGCAACAGTGTAATGACTCAGAAGCAGATCTCTAAAAAACGCAGAAGGGTCTTCAGGAAGTCCCCGCTGTATGATGGCGCCCGGGCATTGAAAACTGGCCCCACACAGAGCATGACGTGGGAAGTCCAGGGTGTGGCTGGGCCTCAGGAGGCTGCCGGGTCCCAGGATCTCGTACCATCTGGAAGACGACCCTGCTCTGTTCTCTGTCACAGGTGCGGAAGACAACACGGTCATCAGGGGCTACGAAGTCCACAGTGCTGAGCACCTCTGTGAGAAAACACAAACACACAGGGCCCCCGATGAAGGAGCAAGTTTCAACCTAGCCTAGTGCCTGCAAGAAAACACAGTATGTGTATTACCTGAAAGGGAAAAGAGGAACTCAAGCAGTGGTCAGTATTTGGCGAGCTGTGTTCCCGCAACTCTCTAGAACACGACTACAGAAGATAAAGAAGACAAGAAAGAAGGTGCAAGAAGCAGCAGCGCCGCCCTTAGGTGCAACACCTCACATGAAAGAGCCACATGGCAGACGGGAGAACACGTCCACCTCGGGGGCTTACTTTAAGAAACCAGGCCACGTGTGCGTGGGAAACACTTCCATAAGTAAAAGTTACTATCGTTAACTTAAAGCTCTGAACAAGATTAGACGGTTAAAAGCAGTGGGGTGGATGCGATGGCATGTTGGGAGAGGTAATCAAAATGATCTCCAACAGCAGAGGAGGCTCACAACTGGCAGAACCACAAAAACCTGGTGTGTTTATACTACATCTTTGTAACAACAAAAGACTCAGGAAATCCCCACTAAAGTGCTGGTAATGCATTCCGACGCCGTCATCTGTAGTTACTGACGGAAAAACGTCCAAGTGGAACAGCAGGTGGCAGAAAAACATGGGTAGCATGACCATGATGGGGCGTAGAGGGAGCGTGTATAAACATGTCATATTTTTATAATGACACTTTACTAAATGTGTAAAAATATGCACACATTCCATGTGGGATTGCTTCTTCAAGTACGGGGTTATGGGTAGTTTCATATGAGGTTTTTATGGTCTGAAATACTGACTTTTCATAACACGAAGAAAATATAAATCTAAAAAAATTTGACTCATAACTTCTAGTGAGCTTATATTCAGATTTTATAAACGTGCACATTTCAAGAACTATACTGCAACTCTAATAAAAGTAGAATCAGCCTCATCAAGATAGTATAAACAACAGTACAATTTGGCACTACCACTTCCACTGGCAAAAACTGACACCCCACGGGGCCTCACTGGTGGCACAGGGGTTAAAAGCCTCAGTGCTAGGAAGGTATCGCCTGCCACTGAGGTCTGAGTTCGATCCCCAGCCAGGGAGCTGACCCACATGGCGCAGCAGACCTCTCCTGTCTCGCTGCTCCCCTCAGCAGTGTATTCGGTACATCCACCTGTTCTGCTCCCCACTCTGTCTCTGTTGAACCCTTGAACCCTCTCACCACCCTGCAACTCTAACCTACCCTCCAGTTCTTGTATGCATAAATAAAAATAAATCTTAAAAAAAAAATCAATAAGCGCTCTGTCCCAAGCTATGTTATTAGAAAAAAAACAAGAATTGACATTACCTGTCTTACTTGATTTTCATCCCACCCGTATAATTCAAGTATGCTTTTCAGTTAATAAAGAAACTGAGGCAGAGAGGTTGTATGGCTCAAGGTTACACAGCCAGGAAATGACCGAGTCAGGACCAGGGCTCATGCCATTCTGATTCCAGTGCCTTTAGGGTCCTTTCTGTATCATGACTCCTGGTGATTTCTAGGCCAATGAGTCTGCTTCACGTCCAGCTCTCTGTCAAGACCCCTGGACAGCAGTGACTGTGTTCAAGGGAGGACAGGACCCACAGAAGTACTCAGCCAAGCCAGGAGCACCCTGACAAGATAGTCACACCAGACAAGGGCACACACCCAGTCTTGGGACCAGAGCTGCACTCACCATTGACAACTCTCCTGCACTGAAGCATCTTGAGGTCGATCAGCTCCTGTGGAGGAATCAGAGGGCAACTGTTAGTCCTGGGCGCTAGGCCCTGGGCCCAGAGGACGACCTCCCTCACACACCTGAGGGGGACCTGTCACGCTATTACCAACAATAAATCACAGTTTTTGGGAAAGGCAGTGCTGTCCTTTCCACCCAGATATTGTAAGCAGGGGCTTGAGTTACTTGCCTTCGATCAGCTGCTGTTTCCAGGGGCCTGGGAGACGTTTGGGGCCTAGAAAGGGTGAGCCACTCAGGTAGCCAGAGAGAAGATACTGGTGCAAGACAGGGACATCTGCACCCTTTCCTCACCTGTCAGTCTCAGTCCCAGCTCTCTGCCCCAAAGATCCTCCCACCTCACCCCTACATAGAGAAGACAGTACAACGCTCCAAGGACAGAACTGGGACGTGTGACTAGAGGCACAGTGAGGAAGGAAAAACTGCAAACCCCTATCCAACGTGGGTCACATGAGCTTCTCAGCTCTGAGGATATTCAAACAGACTCGAAAAAGCAAGGGAAGGGGCTTTCTTCAAAGCTGACATCATAAAGATCAAGGAAAACCTGAAGGACGGAGGTCAGCCCCACACATGGTCCTCAGCAAGTTACACCCACTAGCAAGTGGGCACAAGGGCTAACGGGGTCAGAGGGCTGCTAGGGTACCCATGGGACTTCCGCCAGTATCCCATCATCCAGGTGAGTACACACACGCCCAACAGTTTCTGTGGCTATTCTCTCCACGTCACATTCAAGTCAGCAAGTGTCTGGTGACCTAGGCCACCCAGGTCACCCTAAGCAAGCTGGATATGGATACACGGTTGGCACACAAGTCTCAAGAACCATGTGGCATCGCAAGAGTAGGCAGAACTCCACACACAGCCTCTGCAGCCAGTGACGCCAGTTTTAGGGGCAGCAAGAAGGCACATGGACAAGTGGGCAGCACTGACTGAGTGGACTGTGCTTATAAACAGCAGCTCAGCAGCCAGGTGAGTGCCAGCTGGGACAGGAGCAACGTAAAGCAAGGCAAGTCCTCGCTGGGTCCCCAGGCCTGGCAGCAACCACTTATCCTCCGTGGGATTTACGCAACCTCATGCCAAGTTCACCGTGTCACCGCTATGTGTGCTAGTTACCAGTTTTACCTGCTGTAACCTTTACCATCACACTATGAATTCCCCGAGGAAGGTCTTGTTGCCACACAAATAATGAGGCTTAGAAGACCCAAGAGGAGTTGATGCAAACATGGACCTTGAAACGTCTTGTTTTCTTCCCTGTCTCCCCATTACAACAAGAGTCTTTGGGGTGCAGGAACTACCTTTTTCACCTCTCAGTGACTGGCTTCAGCATCTGCAAGTACTCACTGAGCATCGGCACAGCTTCCTCCACGCCTGCCATGCGGCAGATGTTCAACTGTTCAAGTGGAGAAATTCATCTAAACTCACCCACACCCCCTAAGGCTACTGCTTAGCTACTTAATTCATTGAGTTCTAAGGATATAGAATGAAACCTTTCCCCCCACCCACCTTAATTAGTGAAAACACTATTCTTCCTTGTGATCAAGTTTCTCATGGATCTTGCAACAGCATGTTGCCTTTTACATCTATACACGCTATTTTTTGTCATGATGAATACGGAATTTTCCTGTCTTGATTATCACAAATATTGTTCCAATGACAATATCAAATTATACCCTTTTTTAAAAAAAAATTTATTTTTATTTACATACAGTTATATATATAAGAATATATGTATATATATAAGAATATATGTATATATATATAAGAATATATATACATATATTACATATGTATCTTATCTTACATATATATATGTAAGAACTGGGGTATAGGCCAAAGGTATGGGTGGGAGAGGAATCACCAAAGACAGAATGGGCAGAGTGGGGACAGGAGAGGTCTGCTGCACCCTGTGGGTCACCTCCTGGCTGCGGTCACACTCAGGCCTCCTCAGGCCTCTGGGGCTGGCAATAGCTTGACAGCACTGAGACTTTAACCCCTGCAGTACCAGAGAGGCCCCAAATCGTAAACTTTGATCACACATGACATTTTATTTTTATAGATATCACCCCAATTTTGTCACAATAATGCCCATAGTTCTTAAATCTACCTCTATTACATGACTGAGAATAGCTTTCTTTGTTCTTTTTCTTCTTTTTAAAACTAGCTTTGAACTTACCTGAAATTTAACATCATTTATAGGCTACTCTTTCTCCATACAATTATCCAGTGTTTGAACAGCATTTAATATTATCATGCCTTATTGGGTATGGAGTTCCTCTTCCTTGTCTGTAATAGATGATGCTCCGGTTAACTAAAATGTGTCACACTACCTTCGTTTTTCTCCATTCACTCGGCCTGCTTCCTGCCTGTGCCGATCATAACAGTTTATCAGCAAGGTCACTCCATATGAGAGCCCCGCAGCATTAGCATATCCAGGTACCTTTTATGCTCTGGTTTGGTTAAGGCACCTTTGGGACATGCTTTGCTTTCAGAAACACAAACACACTCAGATTGAGAATCTGAGTTTACCCCTAAAAAAAAAGTTACTACCAAAATCAATAATGGAAGGAGAGAAAGGGTTAAAAAAAACATTTGGGTCCTCCCTGGTGGTGCAGTGGGTTAAAGCACAGTACTAAAAAAACATTGGGAGAAATATTGGTAGAAAATATCCCAAATTTGATGTAAAAAAAAAAATTCAGTTACACATCCAAGAAGTTTAACAAATTTCAAGCATAATAAATTCAGAGATCCTGGGGCTCTTCCTGATGGCACAATGGGGTAAGCACAGCACTATGAAGCTGCCCGCAGCACGAGTTTGATCCCGGCCAGGGCGCTGACCCCACTGCTTGGCAGCTCTCTCTTGTCTCGTCTGCTGTTTGCCTCAACAGTCTATTTCAGTAGATTTGCTTGTCCTGCTCCCCACTCTGTCCTGGTGAATCCTCTCACCACTCAACCTCTGGCCTGTACCCCAGCTCTTGTATGCATAAATAAATAAATCTTAAAAAAAAAAAATAGGGCCCTCCCTGATGGCACAGGGTTGTGAAAACGCAGCACTATGAAGCTATTGATAGTCACTGCAGCAGGAGTTCAAGCCCCAGCCAGGGAGCTGACCCACATGGCGCAGCAGACCTCTCCTGTCTCGCCCACTGCTCCCCTCAGCAGTATATGTCAGTAGATCTGCCTGTTCTGCTCCCCACTCTGTCTCTGGCAAATTCTCTCACCCCCCCCCACCCCCGCACACACCTCTGGCCTACATCTCAGTTCTTGTATGCATAAATTAAAAAATAAATCTTTAAAAAAAAAAAAGCACTGCCTTCTCCCTTGATCCTGTATATTAAAAGGTGCAAGTTTAACAGGCAGGTATACCCAAAGTATGGATCACTGGAGTCCCACTGTTCTTATAAAAAGGAATAGAAAAAACCTTGTTTGAAGAATTTCTGGGAAATGTCTGTAGGGTGCGCAGACTACTGCTCCCTTGACTCTGCTGAGCTGCTTCATTTTTTCTTTACCGCCAGCTGAGGATCTCTGCAGGGCGTAGGAGGAGGTTCCTGCAAGCCTGGAATGCCCTAGATTCCACACTGGCAGCTGTGAGATGGGTGGGGTTATGACTATAGCTAATCCTATACACAGGTCACCTCACCTACACCCAGGTAGTCATTATGCTAATGCAAGCCTGCAGTTCAAGTCTGGATCCACCAGGGGGCATCAGGCACCACAATGTGCCAAGCCCAATAGTCAGTGGCCCAGGCCATAGCCACCAGCCCAGGCCAAGCAGGACTCACCCCATCCCCTACAGGCCTACCTGCCTTGGCCCTTGGTGGGGGTGCCAGGGGGACAAGGAACAGTTTCCTCACCACAGCATTCCTTGGTTTGTCCTTTGATACCCACAGCCCCTACCCAACCTGTGGCTGTTAGAGACAGAAATATCAAAAGCACTGGGTAGCTACTTCTTAAACAGTAGGGATGTGAGAGGCCTATCAGTATGGAGTCTAGAGAGAAGCTCTCCAGATAACATGACACATGCCCAATGAAGATCAACTGCCCACACTCCCTCACTAGCTAATAGTCATTCTGTTTTTGCTAGCAAATGCTTTTAGGTCTGAACATTCTCTACCTTAGCCAGCAAGAAGCTGGCCCACCATCTCCGGCTACAGTATCATATGGCTCCCAAGCCAACTTCAACCAGCTTCCTGTTCTGAATCTGGCCTTTCTTCTTAACCTTGAGTTCATTCATTCATGGACTGAGTATGTATAAACTCCTACAGGAGCCAGCAGGTAAACTGACAGGACACTTATTTATCAACCCCTTCCAGGCACCATGTCTCCGTCATACCCAAGGCCCTTGGCAGAACTCATGGGGCCCTGTCTGCCTCCTCCTGCTTTCAGAGCACCTGAGAAGCAGCCCCCATCTGCTCCCACTCCTGACCACCCCCACCTACAGCAGGAGAGGCCACACTTGTGAGAGGAGCCCCTTACCTCGCAGTACACCAGGTCCGCGCCATAGTCCAGGGCCAGCAACCGCATGGGCAGAGTCCCTACCCGAACCATAGGGGCTAAGATGAGTTTGTTGTGGTAGCACAATGAGAGATTGTTCACAAGCATTCCTCCTAGGCTACAGCCTAAAGGAAGGGAAAACACGAGTCAGAACTTCAAATGGAGAAACCCTTTCTTCCACTATCCAGGGTAGGTTTGCCAGACATGGAAGTCTGTTTTCCTTTCTCTGATCATAAAAATAACACAGTTCATTCATTCATCCAACATATATGTATTAAGGGCCCAGCCTGTGCCAATCGCGGCACTAGGCTCTCTTGGGATACATAAGAGAACAAAACAGATGAAAATTCCTACTCTGGTAGATCTTTCTAGTGAGGGGACACAGATCAAAAACAGTTAGCCTGGGTATGGCTACATGAAAGAGAAGGGAAGAGACTGAAAATGCTGGGGGTGGATTTTAAGAATTCATTTTACTGAGAAATAATTGACATATAAGACTGACTTATATGTATGTATATGTATATATTTCAAGTTATGTTGTGTACCTTAAACTATTGATAATATACATACAGACTAGTACATATATAGTATAGATTTATCTATGTATACTGCAAGGTGATTATTACAGTAAGCTAATATTCATCACCTCATGTACTTACAATTTCTTTTCTTATGATAGAGCCTTTCAGATCTACCGTCTTAGGAATTTTCAAATAGATTCAAAAACTACAGGCACCATGTTTGTTATATGTTACTTACCCAGCACATATGTGTCTTATAACTGGAAGTGGTAACTTTTAACCACTTTCACCCATTCTTCCACCCCTCCCCCACTTTAAACAGGGTTAAAACCTTAAATAAGGAAGTGGAGGCAGGCTTCGATGAGAACAAAGATTTGATTCAGCTAAGCTTCTATCTAGTGGGAGAGTACACAGCTCAAGAAATAGCAGTGCAAAGACTGTGAAGCAGGGGTTGGCCTGGTGTATCAGAAAAATAGCAAGATCAATGAAGTTGAAGCACAGAAGGGAAACAAGAAAGCAAGAGACACAGTGTGTACGGAGCGTGCAGCAAGACAAAATGTCCAAGCCTTGTTGGACATTATGTTAGCTCTTCACGAAAGAAGGACCAGGAAAGGGCTTTAAGTAAAAGTGGCATCACTGATCAAGGTTTCACCTGGTCATGTGACTACTGTATGACAGGAGACTTAGGAACCAAGGTAGATGCAGGGAAACCAATTAGAGGGCTCTTTAGTAACCATGAAAGATGATAATAGCTTGCTGCAAAGAAATTCTTTTCTTCTGGAAAAAATAGTGGCACATGTACAGCGATGAAACCTGTCAGTCAGCTATCCAAGGAACTATTTAGCTAAAGAATAAGAAGCTCCAATTTTTTTTTTTTT